ATATATATATTTGAAATGTATCTCAATACTTGAGCAAAGGAAGGCTTTTAAATGTTAATTTTTTCGTACTTGCAACGAGTGATGTTTGTTTTTATCTGCATATTAGTAAAACTGATGTTAGAAAGCTTTAAAGAAAATGAAGAGTGAAAAAGCTGTTGGACTTGATATATTCCAATTACTAAAATTTTTAATATTAATTTGAAGACTAAAAAGATGTTAGATGAGTGAAGAATGAGTGTGTTGATTTATATTTTTAAGAATAAAGTTGATGCACAAGATTGTGCTAATTATAGAGGAATTAATTAGTTAATGTGTCATACTTTAAAATTATGAGAGAGAGAGAGAGAGAGAGAGAGAGAGAGAGAGGTATGGAGCATAGGAGTTGGTGCGATACTAATGTTTCTCAAAATCAAATTGGATTCATGTTGGGTAGGTTTACCATGGAAGCTATTCATTTATTGAGAGGTTGATGGAGAAGTATAGAGAGAAAAGGAGGATCTATATATGATTTTTATTAATTTTGAGAGAGCATATGATAAAGTTCAAAGAGAAGTGCTATGGAGAGTTCTACATAAGAAAAGGGTTAATAATGCTTATATTCAAGTCATTAAGGATTTGTATGCATGAGTTGTTACTTGTGTTCAAACACAAGGTGGTTTGACAAAGTATTTTCCTATTTCAGTTGGATTACATCAAGGATCAGCCTTAAGCCCATATCTTTTTGCTTTAGTCACGAATGTCCTCACTAGACATTTGTAAGAGGTTGTACCCTAGTGTATGGTTATGATATTCTTCTTGTTGATAAAACTTGAGAGTGAGTTGAAGGTAAACTTGAATTATGGAGGTCAATCTCTTAGAGTCTAAATTAATTAAGGTTTTCATTTGAGTAGATTTAAAATTGAATATATGGAGTGGAATTTTAGTAGTAGTAAATTTAGTGGGGTGTTATGACTTTGGACGATCAAGTCATTAATAGGAGTACACATTTTAGATATATTGGATTTATTGTTTTAAGTGATGGTTAAATATATGGGGATATTGTTAGTAGAATTCAAGTTGGATGGTTGAAGCGGAGGAATGCATCGGGCTTGCTATGTAATAGAAAAGTCTCCCTCAAACTTAGGGGAAAATTCTATAAGATGGTGATAAGACCTGTAATGATTTATGATGCAGAATGTTGCTGTTAAAAGAGAAGCATAATATTAAGTTAATTGTTGCAAAGATGAGGATGCTTAGGTGGATGAGTGACTTTACTCTTAGAGATAGGATACAAAATGAGCACAAACATGAAAAGATTGGAGTAGCTCCAGTGGAAGATAAGATTAATGATATTTTCCTTAGAGGTTTGGTCGCATAAAACGACAGCCTTTCAATGACCCAATTAGGAAAGTAGATATATTAGATTTGGCTATGTTAAGAAATGTACATGTAGACCTAAAAAGTAATAAGACTTGGTTATAAATTTTAGAAATGATATTTCTTTATTAGATTTAAATGAGAATTTAACTCTTAATTAATATGTCACAGTGGAGAAAAAGGATTATTGTAACAGAACCCACGTAGTGGGATAAAGGCTTGTTGTTGTTGTTGCTGCTACTACTGCATCAAGTGATGTTTCTTACTAGTGATTTTTAGCCTTTATGTCACTTCTCATTTTCCTTTGCAATTGAAATATATCCTAATCTAGATAGTATTCATTTCAAGATTATTTGAATTATTTCAATCTAGCTTATTAACATCCCTAATTCATGGGATAACAACAAACCAAAGACCCTCAAATCTTATTTAGATATCCTTGATTCAAAAGACTATTCATAGTTGACATAAATTTTGAGAAAGTTATTTGTATTGAATTGCGTCAACCCGTCCTTACCTTGTGATGCTTTGACATGAGTTATATATATATGGTCATTATGCTTAGAGGAAGTAAAATTTGGTTTTATAAAATTAAAAATAATAACTATTTCAAATGATATATCACTTGGAGTAATCACAAGCATTCTATTATAGTTTATGTAATCATTTTCAACAAATATGCTCATTATGCTTTGATTAGTAATGAAAAACAGAACTTGGTTTACTAGTTCAAGTCCACTTAAAATACAAACAAAACTTCTTTGAAATTGATTTTGGTTGACTAGTTCAAGTCCACTTAATTTAATTTAAAATGTGCTTTAAAAGTCGTGATACTATCACATAGAATTGTTTTGGGGCCATTTATAATAACTTTTATTTATTTTTATTTATTTCAAAAAATATGTCAAATTTATATTTTTTAAAATAAATCAAGTTCTCTTTGAAAATATTAATTTTTTTAAAAAGATTTTTTAAGTTGTTCACTTTACCTATTGTCATCAACAGCCATCACCGTTTCATACAATATTCATTAAAAATAAAAATGAATATCTCTAA